TCTAAAGAAAATACATTGACGTCTTTTATGCCAGAAAAAAATGACCTCATTGATTTAAATCATAAATCCAAAAATGGGGCATACGCCGAAGCAATATCTACCATTTTGACGTCAAAAAAGAACGAACGTCATGAAAGGGAAAAAACAATTCATGACCAAGGCACAAAACGAATCGCGAACGGGAAGTCGCCTGATTTTCAAAATGTTGAGGAAATAACGAAACGGCTCATGGAATTGAAGGAAAAAGTGGAAAGCACAATTTTGCATGGAAAGGAAAGTGGCAGAATCGGAGACGCTTTACACGTACAACCCGGAGTAGTTGATCTTTCTCGTGGCATGAAAGTGTTCGATAAAAAGATTTTTAGAAAACCCGAGAAAAAAAGCTGGAAACCTGTTGAACGAGTGTCGGGAGTGACGGAAATGAAGGAATCTTTCCAAGATTTTCATCTTGGAGGAAAACCAAAAGGGACGCAGGAAATGCATTTAGTGAAAACGACAGATGGTCGTACATCTATAAATATCACTGGTTAAGGCTCGCTTTACATTTTCCTGAATTTATTCCGTCTTTCTTTATTTAATTAAATTTATACCGCTCCAGAGGTTTTTCAAATGCCGTCTATAATAAGATTCTAGAAGACTGTGCAATTAATATATATGTGTAATACTTTCTGATACATGTATGTACTGGAAAATAATTTTAAACATGCTTGAGGTCGAAGAGAGCCTGAGTATATGTAAAGCATGTCAATAAAGAATTTTGTGACCTTATTCATTTGAAAAATATAAACGTTTCAATTAAAAACGTTGGTTGATAGTTTATCGACTTCGATTTCTAGTACGTCGTGTGCGAATATATTTCGCCCTAGTTAAATGTGCACTAGTTTCCACTATGTTGTAAGATTTGCATCAGATATGTTTTTCACAAGGATTTCAAAAAATGGAAGTGGCGGCATGGTCATGGGCATTTAGTATCACATGATGCAATTGACGCCAGGAAGGGTTACTAGTTTAACCAGCATTAACTGGTATTCCGTTTTACTAGTTATTGCACGGTTTAGTACATAAATATAAGCACCTGTTTCCTTCTTATATTCACCTTAACATTTAAGACACAAAAAAACGCGTAACGTCAAAAAAGGCACGTAAACAGTCTTATAATAAGAGTTATTAATGCATGCGGTACTTCTTGATTTCTTCCGTTGTCTATTATTGCACATTCTCCAGATTTCTAACCTAGTTAAATATTATGTAACAGAACGGTCATCCTGAAACATCCGTGTTGATTTAATAAAATAAAATAACTGAACTATATAAAATAACGAATCTGAATTTTAAAAAGTGTTTTACAAAAAATGAATATTAACGTTACATACACCTTCAAAATTTATGAAAATTAAAGTTTCAAAGTCATCTACACTCCGTATAGTTTCTATTCTTTTATATATAAATTATTTTGAAATGGGTACTTTTCATTTTTTTTTTTTTAGTACTAGTAGAAACTAATTAAAATCCTTTTCACTTATATTACATGCTATGATAGCTTCATTAACAGTTCGTCATATCTTGGGAATTCTTGAAAGACGCCTTATTCATGAATAATTCATTCGTTTGTCGCCTGTCTTGTCAATTAACTTGAAGTATAAAGTATGTTCATAGAGACGTAGAGCGATAGTGAACTTCGTACTGTATCATACGCATGGAAGCACACTAGTTCAAGTGTAGAAGCTCGTTAGAATCGGCAAATTGGTTCAAAATCGTTTAACCAGGATGTGTCCATGTCGCTTACGCAACGAATGACAGTGGACGCTTTACATATCATTACGTAATATGGGAATGATTATCACAGGCGTGAGCTGCGTTCGTAATTACAAAAGTACTGCAGCTATTCCATTAACTGGCCGGAATCAGGAAGACACAAGGAAGTATTTTTTCTACCAATCGATTGCGATTATGCAAACAAATATTCAATTCCTAGATTCCTTAGGTTCGTGAATTCCGAAATTCATTTTCCGCTATTTGCTTTGAGTAACACACGTAACAACAATGTAAATTACATTTCTGTTTTATTATCTCCCACGGCTAACGTGACCATCGTGGAGGATGGACAACGTCAAAAGCGCATGATTGAAGCGAGGCCATTGAAAATTAACAAGGTAAACTGCCACAAGACTGAAAAAGCATTAAATGCCCCGAAGACAAGTGAAATCATGCGCGTTTACGATCAGTGACCGAGCTGCAATTCCTCGAGTCGTTATCCTTGCACTTATTTCTGCACAATAAGCGATTCATCGAAAACGCTTGTAAATTTCTTCGATTCAACATATTGCACTGGCACAGGCACGATTACTCAAAGAAGCTTAACGAAATGTGAAATATATTTACCCTCGATCGTTCACTAATCACGTACATCCCACCAAATATTAAAGTAATTTGGTACGTTTAACCGAAATATTTGCTTCACGTACTAATATTAATTTTCTAAGATTAAGAAAAACGATTTAACCGAAAACAATTTAATTGATTGAAGCAAACGAGTTTGGTTAAGTCAACTAAAATTCGGTTCGTGCAACCGAAACGTTTTCAGAATTGAACGACATGCAGTCAGTAAAATAATTTTGTTCGTCGAGCCAAATTTCTTTTTTTGTGCGTGCATAAGTGGAACATTCAGTGAACATTCTTCTGTCTGATACAAATTTTATGTTTATACAAAATATTGAAGCCTTCATATTTATATAAATATCTTGGGTTTATAGGGCAGCGAATAACCGATGGTTCCTATCCTATCCCTTCCTCCTGCTTCTGCCCATTCACGATTCAAGACTCGATGGCAGTACAGGATGATAGCTGGTATCAGTCCGCCGATCCGAGCGCTAGCAATGAGTATCCCGCTTTTCGATACCAGCCGACACCAGCGAGCGGTTCGTGGTTAGTGTTAGCTGTACCAATGATAACGCGGTTTATATCGGGTTTTTAATAGAACGTTCGTCTGCTGGTCGAACTACCGGCAGAGCGCCATTTTTTTTAGTGACTTCTCAAAATACTTCCGAATTCAAGGCCCAATTTTTACGGATCTTGGCCGTGAACGAGTTTAGAGATTTCTTTGAGCCTTGTGCTGTACTTCACTGACCTTGGTAAGTGTAAAGGTGTTTCCCTCTTAGCGTTGAATAATGGACATTCTAGGCGACAGTCTATCGACTGGTCAGCAATAAGGACAGGAGTTAAGCAGTTAATGCAGCAGATTTGTTCGTAAAAAGATACACATTTTAAACCAGTTTTATTAGAAATAAAAGGAATGCTTGAAGAGGAAGGGAAACTGTTTCTGTTCCCGTTTATGTATAGTTATTTGTGTATACCTATATTGTGCTCACATTAAGAAAAGTGTTCAGTTGGAGAGGCCAAACTTGTTAAATTCGACTATACGTTATTTCATTCAAGCAAGTCTCAGTTCATTCAGATAAAACCATAAAACAATGATATTCAACTGAATAATATTAAAATAAATTTCATGATATCTTGGGTGAATGAAATAAGGTTTTGTGGTTTTTGGCGAGTGCGGTTAATTCCATTTTTCTGTTGTTTATATTTTTCTTCTTTCAGTGTGTTATACAGCCTTGAATTTCGCCTGTGTGTTCTACGGTTTGCTTAACATTTTAATGTAGAGGTGTATGTAATAATGTAGTTGCTTTTAACTTTCCACTCTGCATATTGATTCTGCATACTTATCCTTCGAGTTCCTCTTTCCATTTACATAAAATTCCATTGCCAATACGCTTATAATTTAATTGAGAGTTAATAATGTTTTAATGCATTGCTGAAAATAAGGCAATATTTTCTACCGCTGCGGCTGTCATTTTCGTAAAGAAAATCACGTGTGTGTTATTGACATGGCGGTTCTGCTGATTGTGTCGGATGCTGAATTGTGATATAAGTTTATTTAATCTGACTTTGGAAAGCATCCCTCAAAAAACATTAAAATATTGTCGAATGTTAATTCGATGTAATCCGATAAATTCGAATACATTTTATTTATTATTAGAATACGAACTAATCTCACGAGGTCAGAATATTTGTTAAAGAAATGAAAATACTGATAGGTATAGGCAACACTGCGTAGGCCTAGCTATCGGTCAACAAATACTGTTTCAGCGACCAAAGTCGACGAGATAAATGGATTAGTCATTGTATTTGGAATCATTCTTAAAACGCATAAATTGATCTAAATTCCAATGTCAGGAATCTTAGAAACAATACGTAATAACTATTCATATCAAATCCCAACATTGTACTAATGAATTAAAAATCACCGTCACTTACTGACATTCTTAAGATTCTCTTAATATTAATCCATTACAGGATAATTCAATTCAGTCATTTCTAATCTAATTGTGACTCCAGCTATTTCCATTAATTTTCGATAATAGTGTACATTATTGATACATTTCCGTTTTTGAAAACGATCTGCAACAAGTATCGAGTAAATTTAGCTCAAAAAAAAAAATAAAGTTCGTAATGTCCGTTTGAAAATCTAGTTAAAAGGAGATCGCGAGTAGAAGTCAGTGGATCGGAGTCCCACTGAGCGTGGTGCGTCAACGCTTCGAGTTGTGATTGGTTCTTCATCCTAGACGCATTGACGCACTGCGCTCTGTCCGACACCCGACGTGCTCAGTGAGACTCTGACCTTACTAACGGAATAAAGGTTACCGACAGTTATCGACAGAAAACGTGACGTCATTGCAAAATGGCCGACCGCCTTTGGTTCAGCTGTCGTCCACTGTCGTCGTTGGTAACTGGTAAGTATCAAACGTCAGGGCCACGATTCAGCTTAATCTGCCCATAATAGTTTTCGGAAGCAGGATAACACGTCGCCCGTCTCATTCTCCGTCGATTTTTCCCTGTTTCGCCGATACGTGACGGAGTTCTTGTTAAGTTAACGGAATCGACTAAAGACTAACGCGGGGGTGATAAAATTAGAAAAGAGATCCAAAGGAGTAGCGGTATAGTATCAGTGATTTCTTCTTTTTTATTTCTATAAGTACTCATGAGGCTTTCTAGAGCATATTGGTCTAAATAGTCTTTTGCTGTATAATGCTCTTCGAAGCAGAGTCTTCGAAGAGATGATCACATGATAGGGTTCTGCCATAATTACTGGGATAATTACTGAGATAATTGCTAGATGATAGTTTAAGTCATCATCGGAGAAAGGAGTTTTTGTAAATTGAATTTGCATTGAATGGAAGAGGCTATTGCTTGGTTGCATGGATCGTAGATGCTTGGGTTCTTCTCGGATTACAAATGTAACTCGTAGAAAGAAGTATTGAAGCACCATTACAGGTGTTTAGTTTCCATATAACTAAAAATGCTGCAAGTTATAATTAAAGCTGTATTCATCTAAATCATATATGCAATGTTTTGGTAATATCGTACAAATGTTTTCTTTAAAATAAAAAAGTAATGTAGATATCATGAATATAATATAGGAAATGGGGCGTGTTGATACTTGTATGCTAATTGTAGACAGGAGTGGCATTTTTCAAATAAATAAAATGAATGCTAATAACTTTTAGGATTATAGTGTGTTAACTTTGATGCTAATTCATGAAAGTTATCTAAGATACATTACAACCATGTAATGTTAATAATAATCATATTAATTATTAGAACTTACCTCTAACTTTTGGCTGTTATCATTTTTAATTAATACATGGGTTTTCATATTTCAGGTAGATTAACTATCAAACAACAAGATGTTCAGCTGGTTGAACCGTGATGATAATGGCAAGCAAGACCTCTTTGAGAATGTCACGCAGGGCTTGAAGATGATATACAAATCGAAATTGTTGCCCTTAGAGCAGCATTATCAGTTTCAAGATTTTCATTCTCCTCAGTTAGATGACACAGATTTTGATGCAAAACCTATGATTCTGCTGGTTGGTCAATATTCTACTGGCAAAACAACTTTCATTAAATATGTGTTGGAACGAGACTTTCCTGGTATCAGAATTGGACCTGAACCAACAACCGATAGATTCATCGCAGTGATGTATGACGAAAAAGATGGGGTTATTCCTGGTAATGCCTTGGTCGTTGATCCGAATAAGCAGTTTCGTCCACTGTCCAAGTTCGGCAATGCTTTTTTGAACCGATTTCAGTGTTCTTTGGTAGCGTCTCCTGTCCTTAAAGGCATATCCATCGTTGACACACCTGGTATACTTTCTGGAGAAAAGCAAAGAGTAAATAATTGTCTTGCTAAATATGATTTTAATCAAATATTTCTGTCCTTCAAAGAGATTTTTGTTTTACAATAGGTCGACAGAGGATATGATTTTACTGGTGTATTGGAGTGGTTTGCAGAAAGAGTAGATAGAATAATTCTTTTGTTTGATGCACATAAGTTGGATATATCGGATGAATTTCGACGATCAATAGAAGCATTAAGAGGGCATGATGATAAAATTAGGATTGTTCTTAATAAGGCTGATATGATCGATCATCAGCAATTAATGCGTGTTTATGGTGCATTAATGTGGTCTCTAGGAAAAGTTTTACAGACACCTGAAGTGGCACGCGTTTACATTGGATCATTCTGGGATCAACCTTTAAGATATGATGTTAATAGAAGGTAAAAAGATGTTAAAATCAATATTAATTTTTGTCACATAATTGTCACACCATTTTTTTCTTAATTATTTCAATCATAAGACTTTTCAATAATTGTCTAGTTTTCCTGTGTTGTCCATTGAAGTTAAATAGTAATATCACCATCATCAATCACTAATGATGCACTATATCTTTACCAAATTGTTCTATACATATCTTTTGCATGTCACTGTTTTCTTAAATTGTTTAATGTAATAAATAACGAATATTTTAACTGTTTTTTATCAGATTATTTGAAGATGAAGAACAGGATTTATTCAAGGACATGCAGTCTTTACCTAAAAACGCTGCACTTAGAAAATTGAACGATTTAATCAAAAGAGCACGATTAGCAAAGGTAAAATTTATTTCTTTAGAAATATTTATGCATTATTGGTCCGAGCGTAAAATTTAAGTACTTAGTTAACAATTGAAGCTATAAAACAAGCCTTTACAAAGTAGATTAACAATACGATTTACTTTAAAATAACTTATAGCCCGTTAAAACTGTCAAAAAAATATTCCATTTAAGTTTGGACTTTTAACTTTCATTAACAGGTGCACGCATATATTATTAGCGCCTTAAAAAAGGATATGCCTAACATGTTTGGAAAAGATACTAAGAAAAAAGATCTCATCAAGAATTTAGGCACGATATATGATCAACTCCAACGGGAACATCAAATTTCACCTGGAGACTTTCCAGATTTAAAAAAAATGCAGGAATCTCTCACGCACCATGATTTCACCAAATTTAACCCTCTTAAACCGAAACTTTTGGAAGTTGTAGATAAAATGCTTGCTGAAGATATTGCTAAGCTTATGGCCATGATTCCCCATGAAGAAGCAGTGACAGATTCGGAACCTTTGATAAAAGGTAATAATTAATATTAGGTTGAGGTACAGGTTCCTGCGGTTTGTTTTGTCAAAACGAACAAGAAGAGTGCATGAACTGATGAATCCTTCAATCCACTAACTTCATATCCTTATAGTATTTTACTAAGTATATTACCAAGACATATTATACTGTATTCTTATTCAGGTGGAGCGTTTGAAGGCGTGGAAGATCAAGTCAGTCCATTTGGATACAAGAAGGGTGAAGGTATCGATGCAGGCTCGGGTGAACCTGATTGGATAGTGAACAAAGAGCGATATAAGTACGACTCGATATTTGATACCCTTGAGCCATGCGATGGTAAAATTACTGGAGCTGGTAAGATATTACTTATAATATTTTATATAAAGACGAAGTGTATAATAAAAATTGCGTTGTTATTTATATGGATGTAAATTAGTTTTCAATGTTTATACCTGGTGATTCAGGGGTTAGTACATTTGATTTTAAGAACATTTTACTTATTTTAAATATCTACATAATTTACATGTTAATATTTACAGCTGCCAAGTCCGAAATGGTGAAATCTAAATTACCAAACAGTGTTCTGGGAAAGATTTGGAAGTTATCTGATATCGATAAGGATGGTCAATTGGATGCTGACGAGTTTGCATTAGCCATGCACTTAATTAATGTGAAACTCAAAGGATATGATCTACCAGTGGATCTTCCAGACCACCTCATTCCTCCTTCTAAACGTAACTTATGAAATAATCTGATGTATGATCATTAATTAGACATTTAAATCAATTAATTTGTTGCTTCGACTCGACAAATTGATTGATACATGTTAGATGAACGAACGAACAGATTGGGACTCTGTAATGATTGGATGCCATGCGAATTTTGAATGTTTATTTAAAAAGTTATTTATATTTTATTTTATGAAATTAATAACTAGTTTAGTAGCTGTAAAAGGGGATCGAAAAGAATATTTTTTTAAGCCGCCAGATTACCCTTTTATAGCAGCTTTATCGCGAATTCGCGTGACTGAATGCATTTAAGTGTCGCCTTTCTTAAAGAATCTGTTAAATTATGTAATGAAAGAATTAGGATTTAAACCGAATTTAAATTTTGTAACTTTTGAACCCTTTTTCATACAAAAGATATTGTAAATACTTTACTTTATAAAAACATTAAATCAGCGTACGGTTTAATTAATTCTGGCAAAAGTTTTGACAAATGTCTTTTGGTATAACTATCAATGTACATATATAATGATCCTATAATAGCTTAGACATGGTCTTATGCAGCATTTAACTCTCATTTGACTCTCTTTGAAGAATGTTTCATTGCGTGTATTAGTAGTTTGGACTGTACCGTTAACCTTTGACTTTTTAATTCTGCAAATGAATTAAACTCAATCGCAACATGACAACTACACCGCACTTACGTTACATAAATAATGTAGTCACTCGTGATTTTATAAATAGAATACGTGGTCACGTAAATTCTGCGGCATCTGTTTTATGCAATTGATTTGTGATTTCATATAACGCACATAATCAGTACATTCAACGACAATAGAGGTTTAATCTTCTAAAAATTTAAATTGTCTGTTTCTAGTTTTTGTTGTCAAATAACTTTATGAGCCACAAGATCGGGTGAAGATACGATACACCTAGAAATTCCCTGTATGTTCAAAATATTCTTGAGCTCTTCTAAAGTAGTACAGCAATTATGAAAATGTGGACAATCTTTGACATAAAGTTATGTCAAAATTTAATTACAAACTAATTTCTAAACTTTCGTAACATCTAACATCTTTGTAGAAAACGGTATACAAACTATTCACATTTCCGCAATCTCCACCTTTTCATTTAATTTTATAATAACATGAATATGGATGTCAAAAGACGCGGCAGCATCTCAGACAAATTTATTGGCGTCGACTGTACATAACATTTACACGAGAAACCATAATGGTATAGTTCTAAACGCGTTCAATTGTATATTATCAATAAGGAATTATGGATTTTTAATCATTTAAAACCATTATTGTCGTTATTTGTAAATTTACCGCACATACTCACGCACATATATACTCGTGCATACATGTGTATCAGTGCAGGAAATGCAAAATACGTGAAAAATTGTATGCCATTTATTTCGACATTGCTCCAAAAATGAAAGTAGTTGTATTGCATTGTACTAATACTTTATTTTGTCAATTATGTCAACCATTTAATATTTTTAAATGGAAGAAAAATCTATCCATTTCTACGCGAATTAAAGATATCCTTTGACACATTTTATATACCTTGTTTTAAAAATCTTTGGTTTTTCCAATAGTGTTATCCCATTTTGAAAGTAACAAAGTACTTTTCAGGATTATTTTCTGAAGTTTTATGGATCTTTTAAATTAATACACATTGTTAATGGTTATACATAATAAACCTAAAATATACGGTTGTTAAATAAGTCAATATTTAAATTTGATGACTTTATCTCAGACTTATAAATTTATTGACTGAAATAGTAAGTTATCAATATTTTTTGGTACCATTTATAGGTCATAAAGCTATCAGCAATGAATGCTCTAAGGCCAACTAAAATAACCTGGATGTTTCGAATAACATGTAAGGCAAGACAAATTATTCATAAATTTCAAAACGTAAACTAGAACATGTTTACCTAATGAAATACAGACCCAGATATTGATAAGTAAACAACTGAACCAATAAAACACCAAAGACTTAATATACTGAAACTAAATAACTAAAATGGTTAAACAAGAAATTATTCGCATAAAATAAAAATGATCATGTTTCCTTTCTACTTGCATGTTATAAAACCAAGAAAACAATTTTCATACTTGTTTACTTTTTTCTTTTCAAAATATCTTATATTTATGATTTATTTTGATATACTTATCTGTATCATAAGAGTGCAATTATGTTAAAAGATACTACTATAATTCTATTAAACTAATACCTCGAAATTTTGGCAACTACAATAACAAACTGAAAACGACATTTATACACAAGAACCAAAGTTTGGATAGAATACAGTTTTTAATAGACAATTCAATGACATCAAGAAATAAATTTGGAAAGTTTTAATTTTTACAGCTCGGAAAGCGTCAGTTAGCCAATTGGACCTCTTATTAATTTCATTTATCTAAAACTTATATAACCCAATGTGAATTTACATAGCATCGCACCATTTTCTGTCAACACTGCCCTCACATGTTGCGACAGTATGTGATATGTTTATACATATGAATAATATATAAATGTGTGTAAAATGTGTACAAAACTAGTGTTTCATACTGGTTAAAGATCGGCAAGCCTAAACTTTTCTATCACTAAATATCGAGACTGTAAAAGTATCGGACAGTATGTAGTTGTTACCCTCAACTATATTGAAAAATAAAAGACTACAGCGAACAAATGCCGAGCGGAAATTGGCCGATTCTTATGTCATTTTGTAAACAATCCAACTTAACATTCCTTTTTCAATCCTTTTCACCGGAACATAGTTTTCCGAAGAATGTTAATATTCCTTTATAAGTTAAATATTATCGGTCGAGGGCACTAATTAACATTGTCATACGATGTAAAGAGACGCAATCTGAGCTCGCGCATTTCGAACCTTCCTTTTTTTTTCGAATGATTTTCTATACCGCTATTGTACGGTGTGCAAATTCCTAAATATTAAGTGAACACGCCGTTCAAACTTGTATGCATCCAATGTGAAAGTAATGAGAGATTCGATTGAAGATATCAAAAAAATGTAAAGAGAACATTAATTTAAGCGAACTCTACGTGACACATTGAAGCGTTCAGAGAAGGTGGAGAAACTGTTCACTTAAGATGGATATTCATACGTAAAGTGCAAATTATTTTATAACACGGAATATTTAATTAAATATATATTTACCTTTATACATCTATATTATATTAAATAAATTATATATATGATGAATTTAGGTTGCGAATAGTTATTTGACCTGATAATGAAATTTGTACGTTTAATTTCTATTTAACTAACTAACACAGCTTTTATGAAATACATACGTGTATACTTATGAACATGAATGCTTTTTCTGCGGATATAGTGCCGCCAGTGTACGACGGAAAGGTATTCATGTCCGCCAATGTACACACATACTTATAAAAAATACTGAACATTAATAAAAACTCTAAAAATTATTGCAAATCATTTATTTAAGTTTAGTATAAAATTACGTAAAAATATCGTCGAGAAGGTACAGCTTCAAAATGAGATTCTAGGGTCCGGTTGATCCACTTTATGGTAAATCAGGTTCATTAATCCAATCATCTCAACAGCTTAATTTTACGAGTATTTGTTTTAAGTGAGTTATACATGCCATAAATTACATACCAAAGATGGATCAGTTGGTCCCACAGAAAAAATTATTACTTACTCTTATAACAAATATTTAATACTAAACGTTGTTCATTACGAGTTATTTATTGCATTGAATGCTGCAGAATGATATACCTAACATTGTTACCCTATAGGATCTACATTGGAATATAAAGTACCTATTTCATCTTCATAATCTACACAATATACAATGATAAGCTCATTGTCGATCAGCATTTGCAAAATTAAACCACACCAGTATTCACTAAAAAAACAAATGATGTCATTTGTTTTAAAAATATTTCATTTATGGAAGTATTTTTCCAAGGAATCTCATGTGTAATTTCATCTGTGATAAACTATTAGATTGAATAGTAAAGCGTTGTACGAAAGTCCTATCAGTTGCTAAGTGTAACTATACATACACGTTGATACCTCGACATGCAAATTTCTAAGTTACTTCCAAGTCACTTGGAAGTCCTATAATATCACGATTTGAGAAAAATGAATAAAAAAGAAATCAAGTTAATTGGCTCCTACATATAAATCGATATATTACTTAAATCAGTTTTTAATTTCTTGTTAAATCCGTATTGCCTCTTTATACAATTGTTCATTTCTTATAAAATGAAAGATACTCAAAATATTCCTTGAATTACAATTCTTGACATGTATTACAATAAAAACAAATTACCAATATCAATGATACCGTGGTGTTTTGAAACCATAGCAACATCATTTCAAACTGATTTTAGTAAAAATCGATTTCTTTATACAATTAGTTCTACACATCTAAGTCGATACAATGTTTACTGCATACGAGTTAATGTGCATAGTTGTAATGGAATTTAATATCACATGATAAGTAACCAGTGTTAAAGCCGGTATACTGTTTCATTAGTTCTCTAATGATTCCTTCTATTAAAATTGGAAGAATGGAGATATTTCCCATAAATTTACATTATAAATTCACTGCCCATAATACTTTGAATTCCTTACGATATTATTAAACAAATAAGACGTGTTTTAGTACAATTCACCAAAATTAGTATTTGATAACCCCAGTAATTTTGAATGTGAAATTCATCACCATACGTTCCTGTTCCTGTAGTAATGAATTATCACTTGTCGAGCAATCATAGATGAGCAGGAATACTTTAACAATCCTAGAAATTAAGGCACCTAATAGACTTACCGTTAGAGTTCATCATGCGCTTTTTTGCCAATAGAGCTTATTAACTTAAGGACGTTCTCTTTTATTTCTTCGCCTGTTGTCGCTTGCACTTGAACACCTTTATAGATATCGTACTGATTTTTGTGACGTAAACCATAAAGAATTAATGTTGGGTATGCTCGAACGCCAGCTTTGACACATTGTGACCTAAAGTTATCGCAATTTATCCGACCAAGACGAACTTCTCCATCCAGCAGCTGGAAATGAAACGTTATTCTTCATTACATTTATTTTTAATGCACGTATAGATTGGCATATGCATGCGTATTTAAACAGGTTCAGGATAAATAATATTTTATAATGTGTAGCAAGAACAATAGGGTTTAAAGGGTCCGTTTTCCTAATAAGGTATTGAAATAATGAGAAAGACATCGGCATACTTGTGCAGCAATTGCAAATTCGGGTTCCAAGCTGTGGCAGTGACTGCACCAAGGTGCAAAATAATCCACCAACCATATATCCTTACTTATCAGGGCATCCTCTTCCAAAGTTATTGCATTTAACTCTTGTACTGTCACTGGAAAGAAGTCTGTAATCCATTTTTTAATGGATAACACATCTCTAGGACCATCGTACACTCTGAAATTATAGCTATACTTACTTTCACTTAATATTCAAAAATATTAATTAAAATAAAAAAATATTAATTAAAAACTGCTCGAATTCATGATCTATTTTTATATAAAAAAGAATAAACACCAGACACCATTAAATCTTTGGCAAACTTAAATAGAAACCTAGAGCTTTACAAAAAATGTAATGTCAAAATTGCAAAGATGTGAAAACATTCGAAATTAAGTGCGTAGGACAAATTTTTCGCATCACTCGACGCTACGAGTTTCTTAATGATACAAGTTAAATTTCGATTAATCAAAACAATTGCTGCAATCGAATTTTTTAAAAGTTTCATAATATGTTCTCTTTGTATCACTTACGCTGGTGATTGATATCCATCGCCTCCTAAAGGATACAGTCTTATAGTGGGATAACTGCGAACTCGCTGAGATCCGCACAACTGAGCTTCCACTTCACAATCCACATTAGCGATTTTTACAAAGGGCAATGAATTAAATGCCTTTGCAACAGAAGTCCAGATGGGAGCTAATTGTTGACATGGTGTACACCATGGGGCGAAATAATCGACTGCCCAAATTAATCTTGCTCTTTTCTTGATTATTCGTTGTTCGAAATTCTTCGAAGTTAACCTAATGACTGGAAATATTAATATTGAATTAAATGGGGTTTCAAATTTTAATTGATTTTGTTTTAAAGTAAATACCTTTTTCGAAACATACATTCGTGTTAGGTGATAAAATATCTTACCTGATGGATTCATTGCTTCATTGATAAAATGAACGATGCTAGCAGCCGTTTTATCTAAAGTAAATTGATACGTATTACTGCCATTAATTAACATCGCTGTAGGGTAGGAACGTATATTATACTGTCGACAAATAGATGCATGTACTGTGCAATCTATGATCCCAAAATGAACCACGGGAGTATCAAAATGTAGAGATGCTTTGCGTACTTCGGGTAAAAATTGTACGCAAGGTGGACACCATGGTGCATACCAATCCAGAAACCACACTCTAGTACCTATATTGGAAAGAAAAAAAAAACATAATGAACAATCTTCTAGATAGGGTACACATTTACAAATGATTTTATTCATCAATAATACTGTACTATCTGTTCTTTGCATGATGGAAAGAATTTTTTCAGCTGACAAAGCCCAGACATTCTTTGCCCTTATACTTTCTTCTGCAAATTTGGCAAGATGATTCATTGTGCTCTTGCCATGGGTTAATTCAAAAGCTCCTCCAGGCTTAAGAACCCCCCACTGAGGGTAACGATTCACATTTAGATCATTGCATATGTCTGGATATTTGCCACAGTGTATTTTACCTGTAATAATTGGCGGTTTTCAAAATATCATGTTTTTCATCCAACATGATAATAATGTTAAATAAAACATATATTATAAGGTACTTCTTTTCTTACTTTTCATAACCTTTGTCATCATCTAGAATCTAATATTTATAGTAGTTCAGCTTACCCAAGTTGATATCATGAACAATGCTAGGTAATCTTTTTAATTGTAAATCTAGTATCGTTTCATGCCCCATATAGAAACATATAAGCCAACCAGCATCAGATCCTGATCTAAGATGTCGTTTAATACTCTGAAAAAATTGAAATATATACATAGAAAAAACTAACATTTTTAATGTTTCTATAAAATGCTGAAATATAAATATTTATAAAAGGAAACAAAAATACCTTGAATTCATCAGCACTAAGATCTTGTGGTTCTGGCAATTGTTCCAGAACTTTTTGAATCAATTGGTCTACATCGTCTATATCATAGAAAAACTCAGGTGACGAAGACTCCTTATTGCGAGCTGGTAGATACACAGCATGGGTATTATGAGGAAGTGCATAACTTGAGCACTTATCCTCACAATTAAATATCCGGACATTTACCATTTTATCCTATAAAATAATGCAGCTTTTTAAAAATGAAAATCCTTAGTAAACTTCTACTGTATATTTTATACAAAAATTATTCTTTACATTTAATATTATAATTAATGAGCTAAAAAATTGTTAGTATAATTCAGAAACTTTCATATCTGACATTTACATGCATAATGTACTTACGAACATAGCGGCGACTTTAAGGTGTTCATCAGGTTCAAAACAATTGTTATCTTTTCCACAAACGAAGATCAATGTTGGACGTTTTGTAGGCTCAGGAACGTCATCACCTTTTAACAATAGGATCCATACGGATTTACTTATTTCTCGAATTTTAGCATCAACTCTATCTAGTACAAAACGTACAAAAGCTTCCCTTGTTCGTTCTCCTCTATACTTATCACCTTGTCTTGCATTCTATAAAATATATGATTTAGGTGAATTATGTAATAATTGAAGTTTACAAAATAAACTTCTTCAAATCAGATCAAAGAAAACTTTTAATATTTTCAGAAAGATTTAAAATCTGTAGTTATTAAATTTTTATTTGATGTTATCATCCCTTATATCTCTCAATAAGATATGTGTTTGTTGGCAGTGAGAATACTATTGCATAAAAAAGTTCTTGTAACAAATTCATGACCCAAACCTTTGGGTAATAGAGCAAGGTGGGATATGCCTGAATGCCAAGCTGATGACAAAGCTGCCAATCATCTTCACAATTGACAGCTCCAATGCGTATAACCCCATCAAGGTCTTTGGCAACACTCCTCCATACTGGTGCCAAATGATGACAATGACTGCACATGGGTGAATAAAAGTTCACTAGCCACATTTTATCAGAGTTTAAAACGTTGTCATCTATTTAAACAAAAATATCTATTAAAACATTGTTGAGTGTAGTCCTTGAATTATTGGATCATTTTCAACATTCATTATAAGAATAGTTCACATTGTTCGTCAAACATTCGCTTATCAATTTAAATGATCAAATGTTGGAAAAATAAAAAGAACACTACTTACAGTAATCATTTTTATTGAGTGTCACTATCTCTGGATCATCATCATAAATACCAAAATTATATTGATAATAAGTCCATGATTGATAAGTTCGTTGCTTATTTGATCCATCAAGACCTTCTTCACCATAAAGATCATACTTTTTCCTTAATTCAGGATCTTTTAAAACTTCATATGCAGTGGTCAGTTTAATAAACGTTTCATGTGCTTTTGGATCTTCCTGTAATTAAATATATGTGAACATTTAGTTATGCAATAATACAAAAATTAATCTTTAAGCCTAAGTAATTAAATATACCTTATTTTTATCTGGATGCTGTGAAACTGCAAGCTTTTTAAAAGCTTTTCTAATTTCTCGCTGATCAGCGGTTTTCTGAACCCCCAAGAGTTCATAGTAATCCCCTGCTGATGTCAATGAAATGACAAACAATAATATTGCACTAGTCAGATGCCTGGAAAATGAGATGTACTTAAAATAAAACAAGTAGTAACTATGGGTGTTAAAATGTAACCAGCTTTTTACTGTAGATGTAGCTTAATGTTCTTTTTCAGACAGACATTGAGGCTGTCATGCATCTAAATAGTTTTTCTTATAACACTTTAATCTCTTTAGATCTATTTTACCGGTATAAATCTGACAAATGGCAACTCGTATAGATGCGGCAGCCACCTGTGAACTTTAAATGCGATACGGTGATACTAGGTTAAAATACTTACATTATCTTTAATTAATAAGTTCCTTAGAGGAACCTACACACTTTTTCGTTATCTTCAGCTTCACTTTCATTGCCCTCCTCTCATCATATCTCTTGACTTGTATTAACCGCCCACACTTCTACTTTCACGTTTCCATTTGTCTAAATTTGGAATACACTATCAAAGACGCGCCACACCTAACCTCACTTAAGAATTTACACGAATCGAACAGTCGCTTCGTATACGACCGTGGTCAAAGAATTCAGAAGTCCCATAGAAGCCCAGATCCTATGTTAGCGCTTGATGCTCTAAAAGTTGGCTAACAAACCAGAAGTGGGGGTAAAAAAGAGATCGCACGTGTTAGCCAACGATATCTCACGTACGGGAGGAAGAGAGACGCATATAGAAAGGCGAGTATTGGGTGTAAGATAAAGAAAGAATGCAATCGCTATATATCGCCATAAGATTAAGAGAGATGGAGAGATGATTACAGCGCCGCCATCCGTTGGCTAACATACTATTTATCGAGCATCGAACGTCCGTATCCTTCTGGGCTTCTATGGAGACTTCTGAATTCTTTGCCGTGGTTCAGTTTGACATCAGCGTTTATTCACAGAGTTGAGTTGGGAGAATGCTCACGGGAAGGGTCGCGCGATCGCATCCTGTGCTGCCCTCTGATTTCGTACGTCAGCTTTCACCGTTTTTTGTCCCCAAGGGCGACGCAACGAATTTCTGACAGGGGCTCGCGCACTCGGGATGACGGTGTCACCTACTAGTAGCCATTGGCGGCTTACGTACTCGTGATGGCTTACCTACGCTTTCGACCCTGCTCGCTTGTGATGATAAGGGAAGAACACTCGTGGCGTCCTCTTTGACTTTACCCTTCACTTACCTTATTTAAATTACGGGAAGATGAAAAATTTTATCTTAATTAAATTCTACTTCACAGCTAGTTCGCGAATCGGTGTCATCCTATAAGGATGGTACCGATCCCCCAGATCCCGCCACGAGGAGGCCGCTGTGATTGGGACGGTAATTGAGGACTCCCGATTATCACAAAATCCTAATCGTCATAAAATCCCCAAATTCTAATAATCAATTTTGAAATTTATCGTTTCTTGAGGCACCGAATTAGACAAGTGATACGTCGCCATCTGCCAGTTATATCAAGTACCTGAAGTATCGAACCGTAGCCCCATCTTTGAATTGTATTAAGTTTGAAGCGTTACTTTAGGAATGCAGTAAGGCTGTCACGGCGCCTACAAAAATAAAATATATTGGTAAAGAGAAAATACCGTAACCAGTACTCTAAATAGACTATAATTCTATTTATAATTGCAATCCAAATACAATACACGGCACGCCATGGCTCGGCTCGGCGGGCTCTGTTCCTTGGGCGATTAAAATTCCGGGCTACTCCCGCAGCTAGTACGCCGCACGACCGGAGAGGGCAATAGGTCCGCGAGATAACCATCGATGGATGGCAGTGTATAAATTATACGCGCGCATCGCTTAAACAAGGATAGGTATATTTTCTTTAAAGATGAAACAATGATGGAGAGTCGCCCATCGCTATCTGCGTCGCACTAATGCGTACTGAACTCTGTATGACAAGGGTGCAGAGACAGTCAAATTTATCTATGCCTGGGACAAAGCTCGTCGTGTATTCTAAAGCGTGGCGTGCGTTCCAGTTTACTATATATTTCAGTGGTCCAAACCTAATGAATCCGAATTTAAATGTCGATCGAGACGCTCAGAATTAAACTTGTGTATTTATTAATACGATGGAGATGTATCATTAGTAAATACGCAGATTTGATTCTGAGCGTCTCTATCGATACTTAAATTTGGATTTACTAGGTTTGGATCCGATAAATCGCATATCTCCATTGCATTAATAATTATGCTGATTTGATCCTGAGTGTCTCGATCGACCCTTACATTCGGATTTATTGGATCCGAACTCGATAAATCCCGGATTTAGGAGTACGATTGAGACGTGGTCATTATATCCCTGTCAAGTTGAATTAAGTAAATGTTGGCTGCCAACTGTTAGAAATTACACTAGAACGAAATAGAACTAGGAAGAACTGGTTAGAAGATTGCTCACAGGGTGGGTATGCAGTCTGGTAAAGTGCTCAGCAGTGCACGGCTTTCTTTCCGAGGGAGTCCGCCATTGTTGGCGAACGTATATTTCTAACCAGGCCAACGAAATCGGACCGCATCCAAGATGGTACGTATTCTATTTTGACAATAACCCGTAAATTGGAAAGCTTAAAATGCGTACAACACGGCCACGTCTATATTTTTCAAGGCGGAATATCAAAACGGAGTGGAGAATCGGAAAACTGGCAGATCGCTTTCAATTGCGCAACTCTCGTCGAAAATCGTTTCCAAAAAATGCCGGAACGTTTCTAAGAGCGAAATCGAATCAAAATTCCATAAAAACACCTGACCGACAATTGTAGGAAATTCTAAATTAAAAATCCTAGCCGTAAAGCACAGGAAAGTTAAAATCTGTCGAAATCCTCTGATCTCTGAGCAACGTGTCACGGGGCTTCGTGTCTCGCAAGCTGCGTCCGCGTTATTATCAACGATTTTTATTCGGAATTGCAAATGAACGCATAATTCTTCAAATTCTCCGATAAAATGGTACGAAAACTTTCTAGAATTTATACAAGATGTATCTGCTCCTTCTGGGTCTTCCTTAAATTAAGAAACATAAGAACCATCTGTGCATTACCATGCCCTATGTTTCTAATCTTGATCTATTTCGATTTATGTAGACATTAAAGGTCTTAAGTAATTCTTTTTTAAGTGTACCGCAATAATAGAATAAATTTTCAAAAGCATTAAATTCTTGATAAATAATAGTTAAAAAAATAATGTGGATAGTTATAATAATATGGATCGTTTATTATTAACTCTTGCGCTCCGCAAGTTTCGGAACGTTATGACGAATGTCTCCATAGCGGAAGCAACGGAGCGCTAAGAGTTAAAGTTCATGAAGATTATAAATGTTTTCAATTATTTATATAACATTATTCAATTAATGTTTCTCAAGAGTATAAAAATATTGCATTATTCCAGGTGAACTTTACGGTAGACGAGATCCGTACCATGATGGACAAAAAGAAAAATATTCGAAACATGTCCGTTATTGCACACGTCGATCATGGAAAATCAACATTGACAGACTCCCTTGTATCTAAAGCTGGCATCATTGCTGGAGCCAAGGCTGGTGAAACACGATTTACCGATACTCGTAAAGATGAGCAGGAACGGTGTATCACCATTAAATCCACGTAAGTCCAAGTGGAATTACAAAGGATTGGTTTACTTCTAAAGTACTTTTGATAACATTTATTTTATAAGTTTTTATGACGTGTTACAGGGCTATTTCGATGTTCTTTGAACTTGATGAAAAAGATCTGGTATTCATTACAAATCCAGATCAGCGTGATAAAGAAGAAAAGGGTTTCTTGATTAACCTTATCGACTCACCTGGGCACGTGGACTTTTCTAGTGAAGTAACAGCTGCTCTACGTGTCACAGATGGAGCTCTCGTCGTAGTTGACTGCGTTTCTGGTAAGTGAAACCATTTTTAATTTGAATTTTTTTTTTTATTTACCTTCCAGCACATAAGGGTCACTCTGTAATGTATTGGCTTTGTGCTTTGCAATGAGTCTGTACATATGGACAGTGTTGACAGTGCGACAATGGAAGGAGAGCAAAATCTCTGTGTTTAAACGCTATTACTAGACCTCTATCTTTATGTCTGGTAGTAATACGCTACAACACAGAATTTACAATTATTTAATTAGTTACAATTTTCCTTATATTTTTGTTTTTTAATGTCATTGAAGGATTTTCTAGTATTATTCTATTTTTGACACCCTGTGATGTGTATTTTATTTTCATTGATCTTCCAAATAGGTGTTTGCGTGCAGACGGAAACTGTACTGCGTCAAGCTATTGCCGAGCGTATCAAGCCTGTCCTATTCATGAATAAGATGGACCGTGCATTGTTAGAATTGCAACTTGATAGCGAAGATCTGTATCAAACTTTCCAACGTATTGTTGAAAATGTCAATGTTATCATTGCTACATATTCTGATGATGATGGTCCTATGGGTGAAGTTCGCGTAAGTTGTTGGCTTTAGAAATCATTAGCATGCTATAAAAATATAATATATTACTGTCAAACTTAAATAATTTTATATATTTATTTTCCTTTTGGTACAGGTAGACCCAAGTAAAGGATCTGTTGGTTTTGGCTCTGGCCTCCATGGTTGGGCTTTTACATTGAAGCAGTTCTCTGAAATGTATGCAGAAAAGTTCAAAATAGATGTGGTCAAATTAATGAACAGGTTGTGGGGAGAATCTTTTTTCAATCCTAATACCAAAAAGTGGAGCAAACAGAAGGAAACTGATAATAAACGGTCCTTCTGTATGTACGTCTTGGATCCCATCTATAAGGTAAGATTTACCCTGTCGATAATATTAAGCTACATGTTTGTATATTTGTCACTATCTATTAGAAACTACCTTCCAGTACATAAGGGTCTCGCTCTAGTGTACTTGTCATCTTGATCCAAGGTGACCAGTGCACATTGATAGTGTTGACAGTACGTAAATGGAAGGAGAATAAATTTATGGTGAAAATGTCTAAACGATGCTACTGAACCTCTATCTTTATGTTCACTAGTAGTACGCTATGGCATTTACACTACAATTTTATTAAGTACACTAAAGCAAAATATTTTAAATGATTTATCTCAATTTCTCTTGCATATTTTATAGTACTTAAGTATAATAACAATGTATTTATTGTTTAACAGGTGTTCGACTGCATTATGAACTATCAAAAAGAAAAAGCTGACGTTCTCCTTCAGAAATTAGGAATTACGTTAAAACCTGAAGACAAGGACAAAGATGGCAAAGCACTTCTGAAGGTATAACTGTTAAATTATGTAATCGCTTTAATTTATCATAGCGTGCTTTCTATGATGAGCAATTAACCATTTTTTTCTGACACCTCTACGTATTCAATGTGCCGAGATATTATAATCTGATTATTTAACTAATTGGTGGCTGTCTTTTAAAGTAATAGATAATCAATTCTAAATCCAGTGTTTTTGTAGGTTGTAATGAGAACATGGTTACCTGCTGGAGAAGCTTTACTTCAGATGATAGCCATCCATTTACCATCACCTGTGACAGCTCAAAAGTATCGTATGGAAATGCTGTATGAAGGACCTTTAGATGATGATGCAGCTATTGGTATTAAGGTAATTGTTCAATTAAATATATCTTAAGCTAATAAACTTAAAACTATACAATGATAAACTAATAAAGATTCAATTTAAGCTTAATATCAAGTTTTTTTTTTTTTTTTATATATGAAATTTATAATGATGATTGTTCTTCACAGACCTGTTCTGAAATAATTTGATGTACTTATAGAACGGCCAACTGATATAAACTAAATACATTACAGTTTTTTTTTAAACATTTAATTTAATTACAATAAAAGCACTTTTATTGTTCATAGACCTGTGATCCTGAAGGGCCTGTTATGATGTATGTATCTAAAATGGTCCCGACCTCTGACAAAGGTCGATTCTATGCTTTTGGGCGAGTATTTTCTGGAAAAGTCTCAACTGGCATGAAAGCACGTATTTTGGGACCTAACTTCCAGCCAGGAAAGAAAGAAGACTTGTATGAGAAGGCTATCCAGCGTACCATTCTTATGATGGGACGGTACGTTGAAGCTATCGAGGATGTACCCTGTGGTAAGTATTTTGCTTCAAACGTTAAGACTGCTTTTGCCAATGGCCATTTATTTCTTTTTTCTTTTTACGATGAATCTTATAAACCCGATCTAAAGGAAAATTAATGACAGACTAATATTTCATTAACTTGTTCATACTATTCATTTTACGTGTTTTATAAATCGTATCCATAATGTGAAATAATGTACTTTTTCAGGTAACATTTGTGGTTTGGTTGGAGTAGATCAGTTCTTAGTTAAAACTGGTACCATCACGACTTATAAAGATGCACACAACATGAAAGTAATGAAGTTCTCGGTATCACCGGTCGTACGTGTTGCTGTGGAACCCAAAAATCCGGCAGATTTACCCAAGCTCGTGGAAGGTATGTTTGTACCATTTGTAACATTGTTTTTCTTTTTCCATGAATTGAAACTTCTAGTCTTACCAGTATTGATTAATTACTGGATACATGATGAAAATGCATTTGAGCATTGGGCTATGAAAACCATGATTACTTACTATTTGACATTTACTGAACGTTTTTTTCTGTAATTTATTGACTCCAATCAATATATTTTCCATGTGTGTGAATAATTTGTTCGTTTTGCCGCAGGATTGAAGCGTTTAGCCAAGTCTGATCCTATGGTCCAGTGCATCATCGAGGAATCTGGAGAGCACATTATCGCTGGTGCTGGTGAACTTCATCTTGAAATTTGTTTGAAGGATCTTGAAGAAGACCACGCGTGTATCCCGATCAAGAAATCCGATCCGGTCGTGTCGTATAGAGAAACTGTATCCGAGGAATCAAATCAGATGTGTTTATCTAAATCTCCCAACAAGCACAATCGTCTTTTCATGAAAGCTCAGCCCATGCCAGATGGACTTGCTGAGGACATTGACAATGTACGTATGAACGGATATTGTTTGAGTGAGATGTTACAGCTTTAAGAATTATATATCATTTAAAAGGCTTAGGAATATCTTATTAAAAACAATTCACAAATCTCTGATTTATAGGGTGAAGTCAATCCAAGAGACGACTTCAAAGTCCGTGCGCGATATTTGAGTGAAAAGTATGATTATGACGTCACAGAGGCTAGGAAAGTCTGGTGTTTCGGACCCGATGGAACTGGACCCAATATACTCATTGATTGCACAAAAGGAGTGCAATATCTTAACGAAATTAAAGATTCCGTTGTCGCTGGATTCGACTGGGCAACGAAAGAGGTAGGCATCTTGGATTAATTGATAAGCAGTCTTATCCTCGGTGTCACGATGAACCGTACTAATCAATTATTGTTTTACAGGGCGTTCTTTCGGAAGAAAATCTAAGAGGCGTTCGCTTCAATATCTACGATGTCACATTGCACGCTGACGCTATTCACAGAGGTGGTGGACAAATTATTCCCACGACGAGACGGTGTCTCTATGCTTGCCTTCTGACTGCTGCTCCTAGGATCATGGAGCCTGTTTATCTTTGTGAGATCCAGGTAATATAATTATGGGCATTGTTTAATTCTGAAACTGCATTAACTTGTACAAACAACTTGGTAGAATTTTTCATTAAATATTCATATACATATATGCGTGGAAACCATTTATATTTTTTCTTCTCTACGGAATGTACGTTTTACGGATTTTATAGTATGTCGGTATATTTTATTACTTGCAGTGTCCTGAAGTAGCAGTTGGTGGAATTTATGGAGTACTCAATCGCAGACGTGGTCATGTGTTCGAGGAACAGCAAGTCGCTGGCACTCCAATGTTTGTGGTCAAAGCATATCTGCCCGTAAACGAATCATTCGGGTTTACCGCTGATCTTCGTTCAAATACCGGAGGGCAAGCCTTCCCACAGTGCGTGTTTGACCACTGGCAAATCCTTCCTGGTGATCCATTGGAATCCGGCACACGACCATACCAAGTCGTACAGGTGAGAACCTTTAAACACTGTAATTTGTCCCTCCACGATCATAACTGGTGACCATGATTACGTGATTGGTACATTTTTTAATTCGTGGAAGATCAATCGTTTTTTGTTTTGGTGTTTCGGTATTGATCTGTTATGCCAGAATAGGGAAACATACAATTTAACGATCCGCTCTCACTTTATTCGTTTACCCATTTCCTGGTGTATAATAATAACTATGTTTTTCTTATTTCTAGGACACGCGTAAGAGAAAAGGATTGAAGGAGGGTCTCCCTGATTTGAGTTATTATCTCGACAAATTGTAACTATTCTGGATTCGCGCAGTACGTTTAAACATCTATTTAAATGTTATACTTCAATGAATATCGCTGAAGCCGTATAAACTTACCATCTGTCGTTCAATGATTTTGTTTTGCGCAAAGTCCCGTGGGAAATAAAACTCTAAATATAAAAATGAAATTAACGAATTGTAATTACGTTGGCGGAAAGTCGTGCTAGTACGAAGGGGGAAGGGGGGGACGTTTTATACATTTATTTATAATTAAGCATACCACCGTGGACCACGGTGGATCTTATTTTATCACATTGAGAAATAATTATTGCGTTGCATGGAAGACTTAGGTATTGTATGATGTAATTACTTCAGTTAAATATCTTTGATATAATTGCTGCGGATTGTGATGTCCGTGTTACTTTGTGGGAGCAAATGGCTTCTACGATTTTTTACAATATTTTGTTATTACGATCCAGATTCCTTCCATTCTTACTTTCCGTTTACTTCTCTAAAGATATTGGTAATTTACACAATTGCCTCAAGAATCATGTACTCATTACCGCAATACCGTAAAATTAAAGAATCGTAAAAATTAAACCATTTCAATTTATTATGTTTAAACCTTTGCACAACACATATGTACATACATACAAATATTATATTGTTTCTTTTACATAACGTCCGATCCAGTTCATTGAACGATCGTAAAGAAACGAGAAAAGGTGAAAGGAACGACTGGCAGCTATTGCAGCCGATACCGTTACGCACATAAAAAAAATTTGTAAGGGGACTCGATACAACTACAAGTTTCCATCAGAGTAAGTTCACGAAAATCAACTCGTGTTCAGGATATGAAATTTAGCGACGAAATAAGATTTTTGTTTTGCTTAAAATATATACAAATATTGTATCTTACAATTTGAGCACTTCTCCCCATATCGGATCAACTTCTGAATCAGTCTCTGACAAAACTACCATGTACTGCCAAGTTTTCATTATTCTAATATTGTATTAAACTTTTTAATTATATAAAACTGAAGATTACGCAACCTGTACCTGTGATTTGTCCAAAGCACATTATTAGCTCGTATTTATTATAGAAGCATGTGAGCAAAATATATTTCATGATTTTATTATATGATAGTCTGGATAAGTGATATTCTTTCTTAAAAGAATAAATGATACTTTAAACATCATTTATCACTACTAAATAATGGTAATGTTGGCGATATAAACTTAACTTAAATTTCCTTACAATGAACATATGTAATTATAAAGAAATTTTTTGAGTGATTATACATAAATATATAATTTTGTTTATAAATATTAAAGTACAGTAGTAATGGATTTCTAAAGGACTCTGTAAGTAAAAATATTACATAACCTGTACCATAGTCTTTTTCCATATACTATAAATGGTTTAAAAATGTCCTGATCCTTATTAGTACGGTATGTACTTCTTGGATAATCAAAATGATCTTTTTTCAGAAGTTGCGATAATAGAATTACTTAGTAGTATTTACACATAATTATGAAATAATTAGATTTTCTGAATTTCTATCATTTCGTCATTAGACTGGATTTATTGTGTTTTTGTATATTCCAGCTAAAGATTGAGCAGCTAAGAAAATAATATTTCTTCGAGATACACCTGTCAGTGCATGATGCCATTCATTATGTGAAACCTGCAAAATCAAGATACAGCAGGTAATTTTTATAGCAATGACAATTATTGTTTTGCATACAAACCTGTAAGTTTGTTGCCATTAAACTGCCAATCGTAATGGATAGACCTGACCAACTCAGTGGATAATCTTTAGGAGTAGATTCTTGGGCCAATGCCACTATCTGACTTGGTACAGGTGTCATTTGTGTAAATGTCTGAAGAGTTACATTATGTCTAGGATCGTTCAAAAGAATGACCCCAAGGTCATACCACTTGTCTTCACCAACTTCAAGAAGAAAGTTTTCAACTGCAACAATGGGGATATCTTTTGGAAGAGCAGAATTGTTACGAACAGAATGTATTCTTTCTTCGGCTCCTTTCACGCCAGCAGCAAATCCAACTGGCTGCTCAGCCACAGCAGTTGTATTCACAGAAACACCGCTGAAATTAAATATTTCCTAGAATTATTTCTAACGTTTAACCTCTAATTTAGTGTTATAACAAAAGTTAGAACACACATAACATTTACGGTGTAAAATAATACGGAACAATACTTACGTTACAGTTGCCTTTCCGAAGACACTTTGAAATGCCTCACGAACAGGACTTACTTTCACATCTTTATTGGAAGCAACTACAATTTCTACATCTCCACCGGAATCTGAAACGTACATTTGGAGGAATTCCCGTACGTATCGTTGCACACTTACTAACATGTCTTATGGCATAATAACAAAGATATCATGTATCAAATGTACACAATTTGAAGTGCCCTTGCATAAAAAGTTTTTTGGTCATTTAATAAATATAACACTGTCTCGGTTTATGAAATATTTTGACAAAAGTTTAGATACAACTATAGTTTAGTACTGTACAATGATAGCAACAGTCGTGCTACTTTAATTGTTTATTTGGTTTAGTTAGTTAACTAATATAAAATTGTTAAAGAATGACATCTGTCATTAAATATTTATCCATGGATATTTTTATAAAAAATTGAAATGATCACCATTAATAATAACTACAGAACTTTTACTGACAGAAATTTTATCACGAAAGAAATCCTTCGACTGGTTTTAGGTTGGAGCTCTGCTAAAAATACTTCGACCACCCCACTTATGATGCAATAACTTAAGAGTATCAATTTCCATTTAATATTTGCATTTTATGTCATTTAATTGTATTTAAAAAATGTAAAACTATAATTCTGGTAAATCCAGCAAACAATTCTTGTCAAGTTAATGTGGGGCGGGACAAAATAAAAAATGTAAAATTATTTTTATGTTTCTGAAATTATATGATAGTGCTCACTTTAAAAAAAGAAGAATGGAATTCTCAGTAATATACTAGGAATTTACTACAGTAGGGAATGGGTACCAAATGACTTTTCATATAACAGAAAAACAAGACAGAAGAACAAAATAAACTATAATTTGAAGCAAAAGTTATTCAGAAGAAAGAAATGTATAAAAGACAGGAAAATTGAACTGAACGATTTAAAAGATAAAACATAAACATACCAAACATATTATTGTTTCATCTGTATTATACATATCAACTTATATATATATATATATATATTTGTTAATATGATATGATATTTATAATCTGTAATATAGATATAAACTAATTGCAAATATTGTTTAATTCCTGGCTTGTTTTAGAAGTTGGATTCAATTTTTGATACAAATTTTCGTTATTATGACATTTCTGTTTGGTGAAGTGAAAATAAAGTAACTTAAATATTCTTATCGTAACAGATATACAACTTTGTTGATATTACTTACAAATAAAATCACGCATCTGTGGATCCAGAGTAGTTATCATAGAATTTACGCTATTCTTTGCCTTTTCAGCTACTTTGCTCAATACGTGGCTGTTTGCCATAGTCTCTTTCACCCAGGAAAATAATCCACCGCCAGTGACACCAGTTTCATGCAATGGATTCTCAAGTAATGATCCACTTTCTACATTCTGATTAATAATAGTCGACGATGAAGTAGAGGCAATCGGAGGATTTTCTTCCATTGAATGTGATTGTTTCGTTTGATTCCTGACATTTGGCAATGGTTGACTTTTGACAGGGTCAATATTTTTGCAGGGATTTAATGCATTGTTGTCTTTAGATATAATATTGGATTCAACCGATGGTTTTGTAGGACTTGTAATAAAACTTGGCAATGCCGTAGGCGGTGCAACATTGGACAGTAAATTGCCAGTGGAAGTTGAGATACCAAGTGGTGTTAGGAAAGAAGCAGAAGATGACAAACTGCTTAAAGATTCTAAAAAATAATAAAATACAAATTCATGACTCTCAATATTTTTTTAAAGACTACCTATTTTTCAGATGTATTATTAATACACATTTAACACACTTTTTAGGCAATGAAAGGAATATAATCTCTTAAACTGAAATTATTATCGATAACACATTTCTAACAAGTTTGTAATGAGCTAAACCAGGACTACTGCAGCTGAATTATTAACATTTTAAATATACAAACAAGATTGAGAAGAAACATTTAGAAAAAGACTGAATACATAAAGTTTCAACAGTCTATCACTGCCTTCGTTATCTACATCCTGCAGATTTGTCTACAGTGAATAGACGTGTTTATGAGAAATATTGTAAGTCACATAATCATATAAAGGTTTAATCAATGAATTATCATCATATTAAGCTAGTTTCGATGGCATTCTGTATCCTAATTTACGTCAAACAGTGCCTCTTAATCGAATCCTTATTGTAACAAGCTCGAAATAACAAACTTTCGTTGACTGGAACAAAACATTGGCGTAAATAAATTGTTTGCATCGGACGATACCCGTTTTCGTTGTTTCTCCAGAAACGGAAAACTCATCCGCCTTCTTGTCTACAAATTCGAAAGTGGATTCCCCGTTGGATTCGTCAGCCATTGTACGGAAATATAATAATTACGATGATGCAGATCCCTGGTTTCCAAATACTTATTTGATATGTGACAAGAAAACAAGAAATTTATTTTCGATCAACGACACGTGACATGTGGCGCTAATTCAGTGTGTTCCAAAACCTCATATGGTTGATGTACCGCGATGAGCTTATATTAGAACGAATTTATAGCATCAATTACTTAAGTCCGATTCCACAACTTACGTTAACCGAAGTTTAACTGGTTTATACTTGATTCAACCTGCTGTAAACGGTTTAAACCGAAGTCCAATTGAACTAGACTAACCGAAGTTTAATTATTTACAACGGGTTTAAGCTGGGTGTAAAGCTGCAAGGGGGAACACGTAGGAACAATAGGGAAGAGCACTCGTGGCGTCCTCTTTGACTTTACTCTTTACTTACCTTATTTAAATTACGGGAAGATGAAAAATTGTATCTTAATTAAATTCTACTTCACAGCTAGTTCGCGAATCGGTGTTATCCTATAAGGATGGTACCGATCCCCCAGGTCCCGCCACGAGGAGGCCGCTGTGATTGGGACCCGCCTAAGCATAGGCACCTGGTTCCGCTGAGTTCCCGGCGTCCCAGGAACTCGCAGAACCATGATTTCATAACCCATACAGCACACCACTCGCATACCATACGCATCCGTCCATACAACACACCACTCGCATACCATACTCATCCGTCCATACAACGCTCGCCGCAGAGTACAGGGTAAGTCGCCGAGTACATTGCCAGTTGGCATCGAATTACGGATATAATTTGCCGGAAGGGCATCCTACTTCTAACGCGAACAATCCAGCAGTTTCCACCGTCACCGGCGACTAACCCAGTTCGACTGTCGGCCCGCGAATACAAGTTTCAGTCGACGGGCTTGTCCCGGCTTACAGCAGGCAGAGTCTCCGCGGGATGCCGCCAGAGCGAAACAACGCATCGCGCAACCGACAACCTGAACCAGGTAGCCTTGCACGTCGTAGCTAAGCTACGACGTACTAGGTGCCGACGGAAGCTGCCGGATACACTAACGGTACGGCAATGCCGTACAAGGCTTACTTCTTAACTGGGGATGTAAGCCGAGTCATTTCGCGTATGATTTTTACATTTCCCTACTAGCGTTATCGAGCATTTTGAAGCGTTTCTATAGCGTTTTTCAACGTTTTCGACCGTTTCTCGATCATTTTCAGAGCATTCTCGAGCGTTTTCACGCATTTTCAGAGCGTTTTCGAGTGATATTCTAGTATATTCGATCGTTATAGAGCGTTTCTCGGTCATTTTCAGAGCGTTTTCGAGCGTCATCGAGCGTTTTTCGAGTGTTTTCGAGCCTAATCGAAGGCCGTAAAGTGCCGCTGAGTGTTGTTAAGTGCCGGAGAGTGCCGGAGAGTGCCGGAGAGTGCCGGAGAGTGTCGGAGAGTCCCGGAGAGTTCCGGAGAGTTGCTGCACAGTCCCGTAGAGTCCCGTAGAGTCCCGTGGAGTGCCAAAAATTTTCGCCTTGTTTAGCCGTATCAATCGTTTAGGCCATGCTTCTATTTTATAAATATTCTCGTCTTCTCTTGCCCATGATTTTGGGAATGGGTCCGCCCATGGACCTTCGATAATTTGGCTTGCCTCTTTGAAATATTTC